TGTTTCTCTCTATGCTTTGCTTGCTGAAGAAGACCTAACTACAACAGCTCTTTCTTTTCTTTTGGTTTTCTTTCTTTTTTACCAGTTTCTCCCTGGAGGGTCACTAATTGTACACAGTCTTATTTGCTTGAGTCCAGTGTGTATGTCACTAATAAGGAAATTCAAGAAAAAGAAAAGCAGTTATCACACTTCCCATTCTGTCACAGCATTTCCATCTCTCCTGAACACTCACCTCCGTTTTTCGTAATATTTTTTCTAGATTACTTCCCAAAGGAATCTCAGCTTCCAAAAGAACCTGTATGGCACACATAGTTTAAAAGCATTCATTAGTTTATTCCACAAGTGTTTATCTAATGCTTGTTTTTACCAAGACAGATAATAGTGGCTCTTCTAGGACCAAGATGTGATCCATGAAACTGAAATGCTTGCTCAGAAATGACTTGCCCATGACCATGTAAAATACAGTCCTAGGTAGAAACTGAGCCATAAAGACCTTGAAGATGGCCTGTTCTCAAAATCTTACTGTATAATTTAAAAGCCAGTGTTTTGACACACATAGAGAAAGTGAAGAAAGATACACTCATGGTAAAATATACCAACACACCCAAATCAATATAAACAGTGTGTATTAGTACTTGAGAAAATTATCAGATTTTAGTTACAGTGTCAAAAAAGATGTACTGCATGATGAAAATTTGAAACTGAATTTGAATTCTTAGGAGAGATGTCTTTTCACAAAATAATTTAATGCCACAGTCCTGTATAAAACCATGGACATGAAAAAATGAAGTTATTTGCTTAGTTGTGGCTAAAAACACTAAAAAAAAGGAGTTCTCAAATGTGGCATCTAATGTGAGTGTTATCAGAGTTACTCCAATCACTTTCCTAGCTGATTACACACGATCTTTCCTCTCCATTTTCTGTGTGCAACATTTCTTTGCACTATTCTGCAAGGTCTTTTACAGTGGAAATAAGATTGAAGCTGTGCTTCAGACACTGCAGTTCAGTTTACATAGAGTACAGGTCACTGCTAAGTTCCTCGGAATCCTTCTCCAACCCCTCTTTTCTGAACTGAAACACAATGATGTCTAAAGTGAGTGACTTTTTTAATAAAGTGAGAAGGATGAATTGAGCATTTCAGAACTGTTTGTTTTCAAGTTAATGAGAGATAACTGACCAACTCACATCTGGATCAGTTAATATCTCGACTCATTATCTCCTCAAGATTCCACAATAGGTCCTTGTCACCTTCGTACTTTAAAGCTTTTTTTTTAAAAAAGGTGCTTATGCAGTAATGTATTGTGTAAATTATACTTATTTGGTAGAGATTAGTAAATGACATGTGTATATATAAATTATACATAATACATATGAGCAGTGTTCAGCATCACTTATGCATGTTTACAGAGAGAAAACTATATGATCCAAAAGAAGAAACAATTTCAATATAAATTACACTGCTAAATTCTTGTTGTAGACACAAATAGGGGACAAAAATTTACAGCTAATAAAAATTGGTAAACACATATATTCCACTTATACCCATATATACTTATTAGCTGTAAAATTTTATAGCTAATAAAATTGTTAAATACATATATTCCATTTATACCCATATATATGTATATATATGGCTCTGAAATATCATAGCTCTGAAATATCATAGCTCTACATGATGAATTACAGTCATTTAAAATAAATATTTTCTTGTTAAGTAAATAACTGAGTTGTGTACCTTAAATGAATTCTGCTACGAAACTCACGAAAAAGTTACATTAAAGTGATCCAAAATTAACTGAGGATTTATCATTTGTACAGAAAAGAAACTAATTTAAACATTAAAGAAAAAGACAAGTCACTTTACAGACTGTTACCAAAAGTCATGGTAAATGTCCTACACTGGTTGATCGGATTATCCCTAGTGATTTGTTTTTCATTAAACTTTTTTCTTTGTAGTTGGTTTAGTTATTTGTAACTTTTCATGACCTATCCAGGGAGTATAATAGTCAGGAACTGACATGGCTCAAAGCCATATTGAAAGACACAGTAAGCTTGCTGTGGGCCTCCAGCTCTTGCAAACACAGAACAACAGAAGGTGAACATGGAACCCTACACCGCCATTGCTTTTTTATTGTCTTTGTTGTTGTGGTCGTCATCATTTTGCTTTTCCAGTTGTTTTTGTTTGTTTGCTTCTTTATTTTTGTTTTTTCTCTTTAAAATAAAAAATAAAAGTAAATTTATTAATTCCAAACATAAAAGTTACCATGGAAACTAGTTCAAACGTTCTCCATTAGCTTTTTCGCAAACCATTTTGAAAAAGAGCGGACAGTTTCATTCCTGTCCCTTCTCCTTTCACTGCTCTTTCTGTTCAGGTTTCCTGAAGAGAAAGTGAAAGATTTATAGGACTGGCTTTTCCACTGACTGATGACTTTACACCTAGAATTAACATTTTCTATTTCTGCCTTTCTCTTACTGTAACCTGGAAGAGTGGAAAAGGACTGTCAAGCAACAACTCAAAGTGGTGCGGATAAAGGACAGCGCGAGTGTGTGGGTGGGTGCTCACTGGTGACTCCATGTCAAATATTCAATTCAGATTTACCTCATTAGACATTATGGTTCATAGTTTGCATATTTGATAAACTGCTTTTTATTAGAAAATTAACTACCATAGACCAAAAAACCAGCCTTTAATAATAAATCTTTTCACCAGCGTCCTAAGTGGTAAAACAGCATGTGAGTAGTCAGAAAAAGGGAAAAGTCCCAACATGTGTAATTGTTATTGTAAAAAAGAGAGGAAAGAAAGTGCTCTAAAGGATACAACTGCAAGTATGTTTAGGTGTGTAAGACAGATGATCATATTACTAAGTTTTGGTTGGATCATTGAACAGAACTGTTTGCAGTCTCCCTGTTTGAATGTCCACTTTGTATGCTTTAATTTTGTAACTTGAACAACTATTTCTAAGAGGACAATGTGTGATCTATTAACTAGCGATCTCTTACTTTTTTTTTTTTTTAAATTTTGTATTACTTGTACCCTTATACTGTTTTTTAATAAAATTTGTTAAAATTTTATTTTAAAAAAAAGGGAAAGTGTGTAGATTTTAGTAAAAGGAGATTGATATCTTAATTTTAGTTAACCAATATTTTACATGCCGCAACAAAAATAAAGGTCATTTCAGAGGCAGGAATACAAAGTGGTAAGATTTTAAAGATAGGTTCTAGGGGGCTGGGGATTTAGCTCAGCGACATAAGCGCCTGCCTTGCAAGCAGGCAGTAGTGAGTTTGATCCCTGGTACCGATAAAAATGAAAAAGACAAAAAAAAAAAAAAAAAAAAAAAAAAGATAGGTTCCATATTTTTAAGATATTTGCTAATTCTTTTTTGATTTTCAATAGTGCCTCTTGCTTTATTATTGAATTCTGATTTTTCTCCAGATTTAACAAATAATTTCAAAATTAGAGGAAGTACATGGAATTATTTTCTCAGCTTACGTGGAAAGATAAATGAATTGGATATTTTGTCACTGAATGTGGGGACTCGCATCAATCTCTGGTCTTACCTTGGCACTGACCTGGAGCCCAGCAAACACGCGGCTTGTCACTGAGCATCTTGGCACTGAGAGGCAGTCAGGAGGAGCAGCCTGTGGGGACAGGGAAGGGAACAGGCCTTGCTTCTCTTCCAGACAAAGATGGTCAGGCAGGCGCTCATTTGTGTCAGTAGACAACTTTACCATCCCCACGCAGGTTAAGGGGGTTTTGTTTGGATTTTGAAGGTCCCAAGCATCATTATAGTGTCCCTTCAAATAAATCCCAAACTAAAATGTGTCAACAGAGCAAAGTTTTGGTAATCTGCCTTTCATGATTAAAAAAAAAAATTAGGATTTCATTGAAAGTGTGAGAGTTTGTTTGTTTTTTTTTTTTAATCTGGTCATTATCACATAGCTTTTGATGAGACTCGTTTGGTTTTGATACAGCTGATTATATTGCAAACTATCAATTCATTGTTCTCATGTGGGCAAAGCATTCTAAAAACATTTTAAGGTAAGTAAGCATGCTTGGCCTTACTAGGTGGTAATGAAGAAAACCTTTTTGTGACGTTAATTACGTTTTAATATTTAAGAACATATCGGTATTGCATCAAATCAGAAATGCACTGTGAAGTGTACCACAGGCATTCCCGTTCCCTTCCCTCTTCCCCACAGGCTGCTCCTCTTGGCTGCATCTTAGAGCCAAAATGTTCCTGTGACTAGTGCGGTGTTTTCTGTTTATCTATGACGAATCCCACAAGTATTATTTTCTTTGTGGGGTATGTGTCAGTGAAGAATATCACAGGCATTATTTTCTATTAGAATTATAAAATCACTCAGAAATGATGCATTTAAAAGTAGAAAGAGAATAATACACTTCCCAATAAACAAACAAATAAGTGTGTGTGTATGTGTGTGTGTGTCTCAGGGATCGAACTCACGACCTTGCATGTGCCAAGCAGGCATTTAGGCCACTGAGCTAAACCCCTGATATAAATTTTTTAAGAAAACATATTATCAAGACTAAACGGGCTGTAATTTGTCTCTCCACAACTAGTAGCCCTGATGTACATGTGATGTCTTGGTAGAAAAAAATCTTCAATTTAGATTCTGCATAATCACACTAGAAATGGTCCTCTCTGTTACTTCCATTATTATTATTAAGGATTCATGTTGAGACTTAAACTGTGATGATGAATGTCTGGACTCAGTCTTCTATTCCAGATAGCAGTTTTTCTACATACCTAGGTAAATTATAAAGCTTTGTCTAATTAATAAAGGTACTAAAATTATTTTCACCTGTAAAATTTATTCTAGAAGTAGAAAAATCAAAAAAAGAAGCATTCGTTTCTCGCTTAATTTAGGTTGCATATTTGTAAGAAATTAGTTCCTTTACCTTAAGGATTTAACTTAAGATGTATCACAACTTAAGTGAAATTTGTCTTCTAGGATTTAAATAACAAAACAAAACAAAATGGAAGATAAAATACCTTTTAAATTCAGAAATATTAATTACAGTTTTACTTTTTACATGTAAGTATTCAGAAAATGAAGACATCACATCCAGCTTCACTTGGATGGTGGCAAAACAGATGCAAGAAAAATAAATGCATAAAACTAAAATTATTACACATATAAGAAAAATGCATAATTTACATATAATTCAGCATATATAAACTATATACATGTATATACAAGGTATATACATATATAATAGTGCTATTTATATATATACACACACATGATTGCCCAATTACACATGTGTTATTGCTCCTATTACCTTTAAAAGACCTGTAATATGTTAAATATAACATTTTTAGGGTGAATTAATGGTGTTTGTGTTCTGTCCACCTGAATTTTCAGAGGTGAGAATTTTGAGCTAAATATTCATAAATATCTAAGTTCAAATTAAAGTAAATCAAATCACTGAAGATGGGTTTTTTTAGCTACCATTTTTTTCTCACAATAATCTTGACTTATTTCATAGTCATACGTCTTATTATCTTGTAAAATATTTCATTAATATTTCCCTTGTCCTAGCCATTTGACAAAGTACAACAAATACTGACTTAAACAATAATTTGCAAAAGGATAGCCTGTACAACTAAGGAATTTACAATAAATGAATCAAATAATGTGCTAAAACATTAGTTAAAAAGTCTTTCTGTTTTAAGACTACATTATGAGTTTCCATAATCTGAAACACAAATATGGTTCTTTTCACATAGCAAGAGTTTAGATCTAAAATTCCAAGAAGGTAGAAAAGAGAAAAACAAAAGAAAACAATTGTTCAAACTCAGTCATTAAATTTTCCTTTTGATTCCCTCTTAATTTTTATTAAATTATGATATTCATCATCCTTCTTTAAAAAATATTTTGCAAGTAAATGAAGTAATGTTTTAAAATAAAAATATAAAAGCACCCACACAAATTATACCATAGAACGATGTGTAATGTGTTTAATCTGTTGCTGAATTAAACTAGATGTTTACTTTCAATTATTTTTTACTAATAATATGATGGCTCATGAGACATTACAGTGTTTATTATTTCCAAATATTACTGTAATCAGTGGTAAAAATAAGAATGGATAATAGCAAATATCTGTCAAATCTTGGTCTGCTTCACTAGCTGACCATTGCTATGAAATGAATTATCTATTCTTCAAAAAAGTATTTTAGACCAAAAAAAAAAAAAATGTAAAACAGATTCTAATCTGTAGCTGTATTAATATCCATGAGAACAGAAAACATATCTAGCATTACAAATTAAAGCTAACTGAAGTAATCTTAATGCAAATTGAAATAAGTGGCTTAACCAGGATGTAGAGAAATCCATAAAAGCAAAAAATCGTCATCTTGAATAAAAAATTCCTTTCTCATGTAAATTTATTTTCACAAGGGGAATAAATGTATTCCTCATTACTACTTGCATTTAAGACAATATAGTCTTAGTTTCTGTACTTGATAAATAAAAAACATAATTACCAGGGATATTATAATTGGATATGGTTTATGTAGACTTATTTTTCAAATGTCAAAAGCACCAGGGTTATTATGGATTTTCAACCTGATTCTTTTAATATAAAATGTTTTCGACGTGTGCATGGTTATTAAAGAAGAGATTATTAATATCAGAAATATCTAGATTTGTATTTGAGATTTAGGTGTACTTTCTACTATTCACTGAAATATTTGATGAAGGGGAATGGAAATATGATAACTGTAGTTGAGAGTTTTCAAGGCTTTCTGTGCCTTAAAAAAATCAGCAAACAAGAGAGATGATTGCGAAGGAGGAAAGTGAGACCACTAGAAAACAGACGACCTTCGGTGAAATTAGAAATAAAAAGAAGATTAAATAAAAATAATAAATAAATAAATAAAAAGAAGATAAACTGTGTGGTGGCTCATGCTCATAATCCCTGAGGCAGGAGGATCATGGCAAGTTCAAGACCAGACTGAACTGCATAGTGAAACCCTGTCTCAAAAAATAAAAACAAAAAAGAGCAAAAGGGAAGAAGAACACCATATTTAATTGTGGGCCTGACGGTCTTGAAGAAGACTAACTTCATCTTAGTATTTTCCATAAAGTAAGTCAATTATGTCCATGGATTTTCCCCCTAAATAAACTAAAATATTCAAGTAAAGGGTAAAAGCTATAGACACAACATATCAAATGCAAGATATCCCTGAAAAGTCGGTCTTTTGTTGTTATATTTGTATATTTAATTTTGATGCATTCCTATGATGATCGTTATATGTGATTAATCAAGGGTTATATGAGTGCTAGATATTCTTAAGGATTTTTCTTTTTTCTTTAATACAGTGTCTTAATGCTTTATCAACATCTAGCTTTAAAAACCGCTGGCCTTATTTCTTTCTGTGGGAAAAATGTGATGTAAGGCATCAGTGACTTATGATGAATTACATTCAATACGTAATGATAATTTCCACTAAGAGCAACTGGAGGAAACACTGGCAGAAAACACCGCCTCACTGCGCAATTCTGCAGCTCCCAAATTCATGGATCGCTGGAGCTCTGCTGCCCTCTACTGGCCTACCAAGATACATACCTGCCTCAAAACCGATTCTTTTTTTTATCAAGATGCTGGCATCCTAAAATCCAGTTTTCTTTGGTTTCACACACAGCTAAATGCAAAGTAACTTGAGTTATTGTCAAGTTAACTTTTTCCAGATCACTTAAATGTCATACAGAAAGTAACACTCATTTAGTATTCTGTGTTTTAAATTCAAACATCACTGGGGTCTTTGCTGTCAGTGATTGGCAGAAACAGTGGCTAAATATTAGAGACAGCTTTCACAGACATTGGTATTCTGACAGTCACACTGGCTGCATTGGTTCTGATTGTGTCACATATGTGTGGATGGGGCGAAGTGTTGGTGTTAGATAATTTTAGTGCATATCTTTCAAAGATAGCAAGTTCACTATTTTCTGTATGTTATTCACTATCTTAAGATGCACGGATCTTTGATTGCCTTCCTCTGAATAATCCTATAGTAGAAATCTAGTTGCTTTATTTTCTTCCAATTGCATCATGCCTAAGAAACAGTGCTTTGTTGGGGTACTAAAAAATTGAAATTCACAGTCCAAGAAAAAGAAATGAACTATAACTCAAACATTGTTAAGTCCCAATTATATCCTGCTATGGAGTAGGGATTGTACAATTTATCGATATCACAGTGAATCAAACTTGTTAATAAATTAGCTTTCTGTATAACAAATAAAAGAAATAATTACTTTTAAATGGGAGCACAAAAGGCATGGCATAGCTGAAGCTTAGGTTTCAAGCTTTGTATCCTCTATATATAATGTATTATGATTTTCAAAATCTTTTTATTAGGAAAGCTATACCAGACGCATAATCACTATACAATGATTAAACATTACCTTTACAATTTATAATCACTGAAATTACAGAATAAATATATGCACATTTCTTTTGAATCTTTGTGTGTGAGAGAAAACATTAAAAGTGCTTCCTACAAAGCTGTTAGTGATATATACCCAGTTGCTTTTTTATTTTTATTATTATTTATATTTATATTTATATATATATATATAAGAAAGTGCAGATGTTCCCCAAAAAATCTTGGCATCAGGATGAAGTGTCACGAAGAGGGTGCTTATACCTACATGTGTTTCCACCTGTTAAACCACCAGGCCTTTGCTTCGGTAGGATCCAGCCTCCAATCTGACTTTCCCCAGGGTCCTAGGAGAGACACTATGAGCTGTACAACTAGGAGTGACGAGCAGGTGAAGACATGGAGAGGAGAGAAATGGATCAAACCCGAACTAAGCTGATTGGGCTGCAGGGGAGTGGCGTGTGTGTGAGTGTGTGTGTGTGTGTGTGTGTGTGTGTGTGTGTATGTTGCAACAACGGCAGGTCTAGAAACCTAACTGTATGCAGGGACTCATGGTTTGCATATAAGACTGTGTGAGACAGACGAGAGATTGAGTGAGAACATTCGAGCAAGACCCGCCCCTCCCTCCCCGTCTTGCAGTTTTCAGGCATGCAGCAAACTGCATTGTTAATACATGTACAGAAACTGTGCCATGATGGGGAGAGGAAAGAGCCCCAAACGCCAATTCCCCTCCCTCCTTTTCAAACAAAACTACATTTAAGGGGGGGAAAAAAGTTACTAAAAATAAAAAGACACATTGAATTTTACTTAATCAGGATCAATACAACGATCCTCAGTATACCTTACACATGGCACAGTCAAAGTCTCAAGTTTCAGTATAAAAAATAATGATAACATTTGCTGGCAAAAGTCTGCGAAGGCACTTCATTGATTAATGATCTGAGTATGGCCCTTCCTCCAAACCACATCTGAGAGGGCAGAGCATACATCTGAATTCTCTAGTTATCATGCGGTTTCGATTCTGTTTAGGGCAGGGAAGATTGTGAGCACGGAGATATCGGGACAAATGTATAAGGAACAAGGGATAGATTTCTTTTACTTTCTTTTTCTTTTGGAAAAAAAAAAAGTACTAATTTATTTTCTTCTTTCTGTTAGAACCTATATGATGTTTTTTCCAGGACTTCGAGGTAATCAGGTTTTGTTTGAAGTTTGGCCCTTAACTCGAGGTAATCACTTTTTTGGGTTTGGTGGTCTGTGAAGCCCTTTCCAGCTGAGAAGAGAAGGGTTTCTTTGAGCCTGGCATCCTGCTGCAAGTCTGGGTATTGCATGCCAGGGGGGTGGACATGGAGTTCCTTTAATTTGGGCACAGTGCCATAAAGACAGTCCACAAATCCTACCGTGCAGGGAGCTGGCTGTGGCCTCTCACGGTCGAGGAGCATACTGCCACCACCACAGCCTCCCCCCGGGGGGAACAGCACCACCCCACCGTTCTTCTCATGGTGTCGGAACCCAGCCAAGTCTCCCCCAGCACCCCCAACTCCCCCCGGCACCCCACCCACGGCAGCGTGGTGCAGGTGCGGGTGGTGGTGATTCACCGTCACTATGGTGTTGAGCTGGGAGCTGGACACGGCCAGGGCCCACTCCTTCTCCTTTTCCAGCAAGGTCCGGTAGTTGCTGTGGGCCTCCTTGGCGCTCTCTGCAAACTGCTCGCCGCCTAGGAGCACCTCGGCCAGGCCTGGAGGCTGCGTCCCGGGGCCGCCCCGGTCCGCGCCGCCCGCGTCCTGCACCGCCGCGGTGGACACCGCCTCCTCCTCCTCCCGGGGCTTGTAGATGGGGTTGTTGCACATCTGGGTGACCGGATGCGGGATGTACTCGTACACGTGACCCACGGGCGGAGCCTTCTCGGGGGAGGAGAGGGCCTGCCGGCCTCCGCCCCCGGCCCCGGCCCCCGCCCCGTCCTCAAACAGCCGGTGGCACTGCATCTGGATGCCCGTGAGGTCCACGCCTTCCTGCCGCTTGCTCCTAAAGGGCAGCTTCTTCCGGCGGCGGCGGAGCACGTAGGCGAAGAGACCTGCGGCCACAAAGACTGCGGAAAAGAACAGGACCAGCAGGCTGAGAATCAGCACCGAAAGTGGCACAGGACCCCCAGGCGGAGACAGTTCATAAGGTGGCACGCCCGTCGGGCCCCCAGCCCCGTAAGGCTCTCCAGGCTGGGCCGGGGATGCGCCGGCTGGTGCAACGTGCATCATCTCGGGACATAACACTTCCAGCTCGATGGTGCGCACGTCCCGGTGCGTGAGGTTCTCGGGACTCCTACAGAGCACATCTCCCACCACGCTGACGGAGCTGATGGTCTCGATCCACTGCTTGAAGGGGACCAGGTCACAAGTGCAGTCCCAGGGATTCTCGTTGAGGTCTATCTGCACAATGGCGTTCAAGTGTTCCAGCACGCCGGCCACGGGAAGGTAGAGGAAGTAGTTCTTTCTCAGGTTGAGCCGAGCCAGGGAGGTGCCCGCGAAGGCGTCTGTGGGCAGAGTCCTCAGCAGGTTGTTGTTGAGGAACAGCAGCTTCAAGTTGGGCATGAGGCTGAAGGCGGCGGGCTGGATCTCCCGGATCACGTTGAACTCAAAGTACAAGTAATGCAAGCTCTGCAGTCCCCGGAACATGCCGGGGGTCAGCTTCTCTATGTCATTGCCGTTGAGAAACAGACTTTTTAGGTTGGGCAGGTTGATGAAGGCCCCGTCCTGGACATAGGAAATGCGGTTGTTCCCCAGATGCAAGAGATCCAAAGAAGAAAAATTCCAAAAATCAGAACGGTATATCTTCTGAATCAGATTGCTACTCAGGTACAGTTTTTTGGCATTCAGTGGCCTCGGAAGAAGTTCAGAAATGTTGTTAAATCCTCGCTCTTTGCAGTTGACAGTCAAGCCAAGGTCATTAATGTGCAAATTACAGGTACACCCAGTAGGGCATATGATGGGGATTGGTGGTCTGGTCTGGTAAGGAGCAATGGGAGGTTGATTTGGACCAGGGTATAAAGCCTGGGATGTGGAGGGTGGTCGTGGTGTCCGGGGTTGTTTGGTGGGTTTGGGCTGTTTGTTTGAGGACTTGTATTCAACAGAAGAAGCGGTAAAATGGACAGAGGACAGCATGGAGGAAGGTTTGGTTGGCCATGCGTTCTCCTTGCTTGAGGACAAGTGAGGAATCCCCAAACTGGCCTCCACCTCAGAGTCAGACAGCAAGGGGCAGAGCTCCGTCTTCTTGATTTCTCGCAGGTCCTTTCCATGGAAATGGAAAGGAGTCTCGCAGGTGATGTCACCCACCAGGGCAGTGTAAGGAATGCGTTCCAGCCAGCTCTTCAATTGCACAATCTCACAGGTACAGTTCCAGGGGTTTTCTTCTAGCTGGAGCTCCATCAGGCTTCTACCAATGTGATCTAGCATTCCTCGGTAAAAAAGAACCTTTAACCTGTTTCCCCGTAAGTCCAAGTGGGTTAAAGAGACAGCCTTAAATAAATTTGTGGGAAGCATGGGGATAAGATTATCATTTAAAATCAGAACTCTCAATTTACTTAGGTTCCGAAAGGCTCCACTCTCAATACGTTTAATGACGTTGTAATCTGCTTGTAGATATTCCAGACTTTCCAAGCCAAGGAAAGTGTCATTCCTGAAGACGTCTAGTTTATTCTCATGTAGGTACAGCCTCTTTAAGATTTTAAGACCATTGAAAGCTCCCATTTGAATGTCCTGCAAAGCATTGTTCCCAAGGTTAATGGACACAGCGTTATTCAAATGAAGAAAACTGTTGGTGTATAATTTCCTCATTGAATTCCTCTGCAGATACAGTTTAAAAGGTCTTGACCAAAATTCAGTAATCTGACTAATATTTGTAAATCCTTTGCTGTCGCAATGTATATGAAAGAGGCTTTCTTTAACTTCACAGTAGCATGGATCAAAACAGGGCTCATCTATTTCCTCTGAGTCCTCTATCAGGGGAATCGGGGTAGTCCATCCTAGAGCGATTGTGCTTAGAAGAATTATCCACAACATCCTCCCTGTGTGAAGCATCTCAGCGATGGAAGGTTTCATCATTCCTGGTTGATTACAAAACTGCAACAGAAATAAAGATGCAGATTTTTAGCTTTTAGTCATGTACTATTTTAATTGACTCCTACATTTGGGGCTATTTAAGAGCGATATAAAGACTTCAGCAATTATCAAACTGACAATCAAAATGAGCAAGCAACATGCTTAATGTTTAGAATGTGCCCTATATTTTAAATTTAGGAGACTTTGAAATATTGAAACATGCAGTGACAGTTTCCTGAACCAAACCATACTTGGCAAACGGCATATCACATGAACAAAAGCTTGCATCACTCTCACAGAACACAACAGAACTGGAATACTGTGCGACCTTTTAAGCATAGGCAGAGTCACTAATAATGGCAATAATTTAGTCATTGCACTTGTTTAGCTTTTAAAATTCTTAGCCTTAAAGATGTGCGTTCTGAATCTCATTCCCTGATAGAAAAAACTGTTCTTGCCATCATACACTTCAACCATTAAAAAGATATGACATATCCTAAAGTTATCACACAGTTATTAATGATAATGTATGGACCCACTGCTCAATATCCTGTGCCGAGATGCCTAAGATACTGACATGGCAAGAAAATTTGAAATTTCTTTTAAGAAACTATCAAATGTGCTTGGTTACATAGGACAGACAATAACCGCCTACACCCCCAACCCCTTTTGCACAAGAACTGATTATTGACATCATCTTTAATTAAATAAATAACTTCTATGTGCTTTATCATTTGGCTATTTAAAGTGTTCAGGAAGGATTAGTCCTTCAAAAGAACATGCCCATGCAGTCCTCATAGCTAAATATAGTGACAACTAAAGGTTGCTGAGCCTGGGAGTGTCTGAATTAAACACTCATAGAGCTTAGTTTGAAATTGTTTGCTCTGCTTTCAAAATCAACTGAGGCACCCTAAAAAGCTAAAAGTGCTGTGGCTGATTACAGGTGGTGGTGGAAGGAAGGGAGGGTGGGAACCTCAGTCCTTACCTGCTGACAAATGATCTATCACATGAAATATGTGTCAGAAAAAAAAATTCTTTTCCAATTAGAAAACATGAATGCAGTGCACTATTCTGAAACCACACAGAGCTTTCCTCTACGGCTCTCTTTCCTTGTCAAATATCATCAGTACATGACAATCTGTCTATAAATAAATTGTAATACAGCTTTATTCTATTGCCTTCTCTCAGTCACTAGAATATGAATCGAAATCGAATGGCTGATTTCAATCAATGAGAACAAATCAGAGTTTCAAACATGTACTTTCTTCCCATAGTATATATACACACCGAGGATATATTTCTTAACTTGAAATACAGCGATATAATTTATAGGGAAAGTGAAAAAAATTATCTTTGCAGTGAACTTGCATGTAATGAACACAGCTGTAAGGAAAAAAATAAACCATGAGAAAGCAAAGAGAAATCTGCCTTAGGCGTGCAATACTCAATTTTTAGAAACAATTAAACGAGAGAGAGAGAGAGAGAGAGAGAGAGAGAGAGAGAGAGAGAGATGAGCCTACATTGCAGTATGTCTTCCCCGTTGGCTTATAAAATATTAAAATCTACTTAAGTTCTTTCTTCCTCACCATTTTTTTCCTAAATATTTTTCCTGTTTTCCACAGCCCTGCAGTTAGGCAGGATCGGTTCCCGATGCCTGTGACTTACCTATTTGCAGATTTTTATTTTTAAGCACTAAGCCCTGGGAGGGGGAGGAGGCCGGAGTTTGAGGACTCTCTCTTGTTCCTCTTCCCTCCCTCCCTCCTGCCGAGGCCGAAGCACAAGGGGGTGGGGGCGGGGAAGGGGTCTGAGGGGGAAAGCAGGCTGGAGACGTGCTGGGAATGCAATGGGCTCCTCAATGGGCTTCTTTAGGATGCAGAGCTGCCGCTTGGCACGGTCCTCAGGGAGGGAGGGCGAGGGGCTGCAGCAGGCTTCCAGGTTCGCGGCCGCTGCCTCCGCTGCCTGCCGCCGCCGCCTCGGAGGCTGCTCTACTGGGGTCCCGGCAGCACCCCATTGGGCCCCTGGAGCAAGGGCGGGAGGAAGGCTGGAAGCAGGAAGGCTGGATCACAGTGCAGGATCTCGGACTTCTCTCGCGCTGCCTTTTTTTTTTTTTAATATGTGCTGTAACCCTGGATCCGGCTTTCCACGTCACAAAAATGAGCTCCAAGCAGGGGAACGCGCTTAGCATGGGGTCGGGAGCGAGCACTAGGAAGCCCTGACTGTACAGTGGTGTGTGTGTGCGCGCGCGTGTAAATGTGTGTCTGTGTGTGAGAGAGACAGAGACAGAGAAGAGGAGGAGGAGGAGGAAGAAAGAGAAGACATGGCAGAGTGCAGATGACAAATTGGAGAAATAGCAAACAAAAAGAGAGGGGGAAGAGACAGGAGTGCGGGAAACATTCCAGCATTCCTTTGGTGGGGAAAGAAAGATGGTGTGTTTCTCTCTCTCTCTCTCTCTCTCTCTCTCTCTCTCTCTCTCTCTCTCTCTCTCTCTGCCTCCGTAGAGATGGTTTGTCTAGTTCCCAAAGCTGCTCTAGTGCTGGCGTTGTGGAGCTGAAAACTATCCTTCAGAATTGTCCTTTCAGGAGAAAGTCTTTGAAAACCTGGAATGAGAGACAAATTCAGGTCCCCCAAGGAGAGAAGGCCAATCTGCCTAGGTGTCCCAAATAGGAGCTCAGACAGCCCTGAGTTACTTGGATGAGAGTCTCCTGCATTTTGCTTCGAACCCTTTGCACCAGGAATTCTTTTGTTGGGCTGCAACCTAGAGCCTTGAATAAAATATTATTTTTATCATGACTTTCTTCCACCCTTAAAAAAAACAAAAAGTCAATGCTCTGGAAAGAAGGGCAGACCACTTGAGCACCAACCCAAGTGCATTTCACATTCTTCCACCAGGAAAAACCTCCTAGGAATAGGAGGCAGTATTTCAGGGCTTCTTTTCTGTTCTTATCAATATCTTCTTACTTTTTTTCTCTTTTCTTTGTTACTTGGGTTAAAGGTGATTGAGGGAAGGTGTTGTAGTGGAGCAAAGCTGCCAGGCAGACCATAGTTTCCAAGAACCCTCTAAAGGGAGTTTTTAAATGCTCAGTTGGCAGTCCTATCACCTGCTGGGAGGAAATGCAGCTTAGTGGGAAACCTGGGGAGAGCTAAGTGGCAGCCAAGTGATCTGGAGCTGCTGTAGGAGATGCATGGTTCCCACTGCCCAGCACACACACTAACACACAGGTAGTGGAAAGGAAACTTGCAGGTTAAAGAACTGAACTCAATCTCAGTTGTCTACGGGCTCAAAGTCAGTAGGTAGAGATGCTTTCCCTTGGAGCACTTTTTACAAAGCCAAATGTTTAAAAAAGCAAGGCTTGTGTTTTAATTTCTTACCACTGTGGTATTTAGAAGTCACCTAACTCAACAAAACCTCATAGGAGGTTCACAGGCTATTTTGCGCATAGAAGGACTACACATGTGTCCACTGTCCCAAGGTAGCTAAGAGTGAAATCAGTAATCAGGGACCTTGCACGGAGGCTGTCAGGATTCTCTAACATTCTCCACCCTTAACGGTCCGGACCCACCCTGCTGCTGACTGATGGGTCTCAACTCAGAAACAAATTCATCCACATTAGCTGCCTGAGTTCAGAACCAAAGCAATCCCCACCACTGCTCCCAACACACACACACACACACACACACACACACAGACACACACACACACACACACACACAGCTTCCACCCCACCCCCACCCCAGCACCTTCAGTCCCCAGCGTGCGGATGCAGCGACTGCTCCACAGATCTTATGGGAATCCATGATTTGATGGAACCCGGGGACTGCCCTGAGCATCACTGTATCAGTAAATGGTCCGCTCCGAAATAAAAGTCTCTGTTCTTGCTTGAACTACCATCTCCATGTATTCCGTACTTTGCCAATCTCTTAAAGGCTATTTCAACAGTTTCCTTTCCTTTTGCTCAAGATAGCATAGCCAGAGGACAGAATGCGTTCCAAAAGTTAGCGAATAGAGGGCACCGGCCCCCGGGATCTTCTGTGTCTAGCTGACAGCATCCGCATCATTTGTTTGTCCAGAGAGAGGACAAGAAGCTCTTTCTCCCCAGAATGCCCCCTTCCCACCTGGCCTTCCAACACTCCGCCTGGTATTGGAGCTCACTAATCTCTCCAGATCTGAGATTAAATATTCCAATATGGAAGCAAAACGATCTCCCCTGAAACAAATAATTAAAATGCTGCATCATTCATTTTCTCAACAGATCTGAGCCTCCTAAAGATCCTTTCTAATCTGCTGTCGCCAAGCAAAAGACGCAATGGATCCGTTTAACAATGAAAAAAAAAAAATCTTTAAAGCTCGAGCCGTTTTCCTCCAATCTCGTTCAGTACCACAGCGCGATGCGCTGGGGGAGGGGTCCTTCACTCCGCCTGGCCTATTTGCGGGGAGTTACCTCGTCCTCCCCCGAAAAGGGGTCCGCGAGTATGTTAGTCTCCAGTACCCCTCCTTCCACCACGTTCCTTCAAACTAACTGAGCCAATAAAAATGCAACCAACCCCTAGCACCTGTGAACGTATAGCAGACACCGAGGCCAAAGTCCGTGTGCTCTAAGGTGCGCATCCTACAACTCAACAAATACTGATTTCAATTAGGCAAAGTGGGAAAGGAGGGGGACAGTACCTAGCAGTGCAGAGCGCTCAGGTCCGCGGAGGCTGCTTCCAGGCGCTGCCCGCGGGAGGGGCAAACTCTCTGGGAGGTTCAGTAACACCCTTCATCCTAGAGCCTTGGTTTCTTCTTCTCTTCCGGTTACCAACTTTTGGAAAGGCTACCGAACCACGCTTGTAATCCTCTCAAGGATTCCACCTTGGAGACTTGCAGGGAGATGGTCTTTGCATACCAAAGCCAGAGCCGCGTGCGCACCTAGCAGGGCGATGTCAGGGAACGTGGCCCAAGACCACCGCTCCGGACACCCCCGAGGACAGGCAGGCTCCGGGATCGTCCCAGGACTGTGATCGCCGGGCTGAGATCCTCGATGCGCTGGATTCGGTGGCGAGCCCCGCCGTTCCGGGCTGGTTTCCGGGACTGCTCTCTGGCGCTGCGCTCTTCCCCAAAGATTGTCACTTGCAGCGCAGCCGCTGCCCGAGGCCTCCTCCAGCGCGAAGAGATGGAAGTGGCCCTGGCCTTTCCCGAGTGTCTTTGCTCTTTGCCCCTTGCACGGGTGGGAGTGGGGGGTGGATGGAGGATGGAGTGTAGACGGGAAGGAAAGGGGTGGAGAGAGGCGGAGAGGAGGCTTTAAGGGGGCGAACGGATCTGGAGTCCAGCAATGGTCAGGGGGAGGGAGAGGGCACGGACACACAGCAAGCTGGGCACGCCGAATTGCACTCGGCTGAGAAACCTCGGGCACGGCGCGAAGGTGGAGCGATCCGCTGGGCACCCTGGCTGCCAGCAGGCGCAGGGGGGAGCTGGGCGCCGGAGGGGACGCCGGGCTCTCAGGTCAGAAAGACGCTCTCGGTGGCGGCGGCTGCGAAGGCGTATTTTACGACTAACCTGATCTAAAAGTGCCACTTTCATGGCCTAGGAAATAACTAAAAGCGGATTACACGTTACTTACCAACGTGTGCTGCTCCACCCGGAGCGCCGGGGCGGGTGTTAGGAACCAGTATAGGAAAAGGCAAGGCTGGAACGCGAACGCGAATCCATCGGCCGCCCCCAAATCGCTCACCGAGGGAGCGGCGCTCGGGAGCCCCCAGATCAGCCCATCGCGGGGCCTCCGCCAGCTCGGCCCCCCGCACCGGCCCCTCCTCCGCGCCAACTGTGTAAATCAGCAGCCGCAGTCCCCGCCGCGCATCGCGGGCGAATCCCTGCTCAGGGATCGGGAAGCAATTGATTGTCTCTCTCTCTCTCTCTCTCTCTCTCTCTCTCTCTCTCTCTCTCTCTTTATGGGTCACAATCTGGCAGCTCTACAAAGAGCAGCGGTGTCAGGAAGTCAGCATTCTGTTTCTATGGATTGATTTTTAACTTTTGCAAATAAGAGGTGATTGTTTGGAAAATTACAGCCCCAAACTGGCGAGGGTGGCGAGGGGGTGAGGGATGTGATCGAATTCGGATCTTCTGAGCCGTCTCGGTGGGCGAGACTGCAAACGCCTGGAGGAGCCATCATTCCAAGTGATTTGCAGTAACCCCAGTCTTCACGAGCATGGGTGACAGTTTGAAAGAGCACACGTTTCCTCACCTATTTACACTTACTGGGAGGGGGAAACTAGGAGAAGAGAAGGTGGGGGCATTTCCTGGAGAGACGCCAGCCAGCGCTTCGTGAGGAATTAGATAAGGACATGGGAACAATGATTGCACCTATATGAAAGTACTGTCACATTAAAGAGGCGACCATCATCCCCACTGCAGTCGTATTCATGCAGTCGTTTAACACTCGGTTCAATCTGCAGTATAAACCAACGCAGTTCTTCCTAACAGATCCCTTTCATCAGCAGCTGTGCTGGGGAAAAGGCCACCTTCCGCTGACCCCCAAACTGAACAGGATGCCACCTGGGGTTGCAGCTCTGTCTCTTCTTCCTTCCTGAACTGAATGCAGTTAATTGTCCAAGACAAATGAAGTTATGTGGCCACGTACAGTTGCACACCTAAAATAAGAACAACTCTATTTTAAAAAGCTTTCAAAGGGACACTAGCTTATCTCTTGCAAAAGACAGTTCTCTCTTTTAACTTAGATAAAAGAGAAACAGGCCTGGAGATAGGATAGTTTGCCTTTATTTTTCTGTTTTCTGTATAATTTATGCCACTACTGTATACTATGGACAGCTAATATGCTCTTCATGTTATTCCCATTAAAAGAGACAAGGGTGGAGTTGATCGCGGGGAGAAGCAGGGCTTGAGGACTTTTTACAACATGGGCGCGCGCGCGCGCGGGCACACACACGCACAGACGTTATGGGGGAAACAGCGTGGCAGCTTGTTGGTCATATGCCTGAAGTATGTATTTAGAATAGTATACTTACAATGTTTCAACTTGTTTTTCAAAATACACAAGTTAAGATTATTAAAATTACTAAATTATTTACAAAGACCTAGAAACAGATAAAGGTACTATTACAACAAAACATATTTTTTAAAAACAGTATTTCAGTTCAACTGGCATCAATTCCAACCCTTTCTTCAGTATTTTCTTTCAGAATAATATCTTCAATGTGAATTTTACATATGAGAAGACATAGATGTGGAAAGAACACTTATAATAGTGTTTTACTCACTAAATTTCCAGAATAGGGTTTTAAAGCCTTATGCTCAGTAAAGATTACCAAAGGAGTTTATCCTAATAACAAACTGGTCACGTTTAGAAGAAACAAATGAGCACCAGGAGGCTGATGAGTCACAGACATGCTTTCGGCCTTTTAGGTGGTTGCTCAATTTTAGGCAAATCATTCCTGAGTACACCGCATTCTGTGTGGGGAAGTGTGAAATCACACACAGGCCCCCTTTCGCCCTGAGGTTGGGAATATTACAGGAACTCTGAAGGAAACCAGGCAATATCACCCCCAAAGAGTTCAATATTTTTAACTTTGGGGAAGTATTTTCACTTTGTTTGATTTTCAAGGTTATTTGTTGATGAGCGAACTCCAAATATGTTAATTAATAGTCAGAGCACATGTTGGTGTTTATGGAATTTGAAGGTGCTGGGGAGCTATGAAAGACTGATACCAGAATGTGTTTTTAATGTTGAGAGCAGGCACTTCAAGTACAAGTGTTTCGGACCAAAAAAAGAAAAATTGTGGGGCAAGTAATTGTGATGGATCTTTTATTCCATGCTGTGATGTTTAGTGTTTTCTGCAAAGCCATTAATTTATATGTCTATAGTTTTATTTAATCAAATATTGCTCACAATGTCAAAAAAGAACATTCATTTAAGCAAATGTTCTTACTGATGACATATGATATATAATATATATAGAAAATATAAAATAACATTTTATAATTTTCAGTTTAGCAATAAAAGGTCTGTATTGCTGATAGACATTTGTTTTTAAGTTTAAAAGGTATTACAATATTTCAGTTTCCTCTTAGCTGTTCTGTCATTTTCCGAAGCGGAACCATAATATTAAAATGAATGCAATTTACATATTTTCCCCTGTCTATCACATTTATACCACTCCGAAGTTTTGAATAAAATAAATAAATTTGTTAAAATGTTTTATACTAAATGAAATAAATCTAGGGAACTGCTTGTGTTAGGTTGAATAGTCACTCAAGGAAGTTCCAAACTTTACTTGTGATCGTCCATGATTATGTAAAACATATATACTGAGGTGGTCTACATTCTGTATCTATCTGCTTAAGTAGCCAGCATATCTAAGTTAAGTCTATGTCATTGTCTTCCTTTCCCAACCTAAATAATTTTTTGATCCAAGAATTTACACAGTTCATCAGCAGCGAAACATAATTGCATCTTCATTTAATGAACATTTTTGTACTATTACTGAAAGAATGGAAATATAGTAATTTAGAGCATGGAAATACAACTTATACAATTAAGTAAATAACAGTATGAAAACCTGTTTCTAATTTTCTGTTGGGAGACTGTTAGTATTTAGTGAAAGAATTTAGAGAATTGGTCAACTGAGGCTGCATAATTACAGAAATATATATTTGTATAGTTTTTTTGTATCTCCTTTGATGAAAAAAATTTTTTTCCAGTAGTGAGGATTGAATTCAGGACTTCTGAATTGAGCAACATCTCCAGTCGTTTTTATTTTATTTTGAGACAGGGACTCACTAAGTCACCACATTGCCTGGACTGGGGCTAGAAATCCTCCCGTGTCAGCCTCCCAGATCACTGCTAGTGCAAGTGTTTGCCAACACAACCAGCTTAGGTGAAATACACAGAAATGTTGTATGTCATGCAGACAAAGTGTAAAATAATTGATAACTTTTTTCTCAAAAGCATTTTATTAGCTTTACTGAATCACACTGAATGCCGGGTGACAGTTGTAATATCATTGTAACTAACATACTACAAATATGGGGAAGGAGTTTTATGATACTCAACAAGATCCTCACCTTCTGTGTTCTGCTTCACTAAAAGATTTCAGAATACTTTAAAAGCATCAACTACATTGACTTGATTTATTTTTGAGATGTACAAGAGCTTTAATCTCACAGGTTACTTGAACTACTTTAATACAGAGTTTATTCAGGATGAAATTTCTTGGTTTTTTTGTAGACTGGTTTAAGCATAGAAAGTTATTATATTTTTTAAAGTGACTTACCAAAATTATTAGCATTCATAAATTGTATATGCTAAGATTAAAATTACAAAGAAGAGAAAATAATTTTGAAAGGCCAAGATGAGGAGAAATCAATCAAATGCACTTGTTGAAGCATACCGATTGTTGAATAATGTATTAGGAAATTTTAAAATAGATGTAACATGGGATGGAATGGAGGATATGTACTGGAATGAGGTGAAGGATTTCAGATGTAGTTATAAAGGAAGATTTTTTATTTTAAAATAAATACATTTTATGATACCATGAGAGGTGAGAAAGGGAACAATTTTATAGAATTACAGAATCTCAGTTTAAGAGGGACTTGAAATGTTACCTAGCCTGGCCAGTAATTATTTGTTAAAGGGATCTCTTCATTCTCCCCTGACAAGTACGTACCAAGGTTGAGCTATAATATCACCTCTGATTTGGCACCTCAGGGAGCTTGATTTTATTTTGACAAATTTAACTGACAGAAAAATTTGCTTTTCATTAATTTGTCTGCATTTTACCCTTAGGAAATTTGTTTAAAAATATAAGCTAAGGAATTTTCTACTCGTTCAACTTAACTATACTCACAGAAAGCGTATATAGAATGTATGGGTTACATTTACACAAAGACCTGGCAGAGTGAAATCCTCACTGGTGCCAACTTGCAGCACACCACTGGCAGATTTGTATCACTGAAAACTCTGAAAGGTTCCTCTTCATGGATAAGAAAAGAAGGGGGAGTCAGCCACAGGCAACTGACGCTATGAAACTATGGAATCTTATTAGTGTGAAAAAATATTTCAGAGCCTTATTGTGTTTGAAAGTTATTTCTGAATTTCCAAAATGCTTTAGTTTTCACTGAAATTCTTTTGCGAACATATTTAAATTAGTTTATGCATCTTTGTAACCTACTAATTTTGTAACCATAAAGGTATTGTAGTAATGTAAATCAAATTTTTTTGACGTTTGATTTTCTTTTGTGTGGTACTGGGGATCAAACCTACGGGTGCTTTACCAATGAACTATACCCCTATTCTTTTTATATTACTTCATTTGATTTTGATTTTTTGCAGACTAACCTGGAATTCAGGATCCTATAGCCACCACTTTCAGATGTTTTTTGAATTTTAGAAAACTTAAATATGAAATG